CCGTCTTTTCGCCTATAGGACTACTAAACAATATACTACTCAATATGAACCTTTTTATTTAATATATGGAAGGGATACTTTAACCCCTTCGGAGGTTTATAAACGTACCTCTTCTAATAAGCCGGCCACGGAAAAAGAACCGCAACAACAAATAATGCAACGAATTGAGATAGTGCTAGGTTCTTTAACAGAATCTCGTATAATGGCAGAAAAAAAAAATAAAGCAAGCTCAAGCTTATCAAAAACTGTATCATGATCATAATCATAAGTTGGAGTCTTATGAAATTGGCGACCAAGTACTACTTCAACGGTCTGAAATTCAGCATTCTAAAAGTGCTAAACTAGAAGTCCAATATAGCGGTCCCTACTACATTCACAACGTTTTAGGAAATGGAACATATAAGTTGAAAACTATCACCAGGAGTAAAGTTCTTAAAAAAGCAATTCATAGAAACCGGTTAAAGCTGTATCATCCCCGTCCAGTTGTACAACTAGTTCTAATTGATTATGGAAATTAAATAAAAAGGTTCATATTGAGTAGTATATTGTTTAGTAGTCCTATAGGCGAAAAGAGCTGGCACTATTAAATCATCTCATTCTTCGTTAAATTGATTCACGCATTTACAAAGAATGGCACATAAGGTTTTATTGAACCTTTCACTAAACCGTTAGTTTGCGGATGGTAAGTGGTTGATTTGGTATGAGAAATATTTAATTTAATGCAAAGGGCCTTTACTAATTTGTTACAGAAATGGGTACCCTGGTCAGATAAAAGCTGCTGGGGAGCACCGTGCTTACAAATTACGGCATCAAAGAAGAAATTCACTACTGATTCAGCATCACATGTACTTAAAGCCCTGGCTTCGGGCCACTTAGTAAGATATTCCATGGCTACAACTATGTACTTGTTTCCTTTAGAGGTTTTAGGAAGAGGACCAACAATGTCGATTCCAATTTTATCAAACGGTTTACCGATAGCGATAGGGTAAAAAGGTTCTCGCGTTGTGGGTCTAGATTTTCGCTGACAAATATCACATATTTGAATGTATGATTTAATGTCGTTTCCCATTTGAGGCCAAAAGTATCAAACTGCAATTCGTTAATAGGTTGATTGAAAATTAAAATGTCCTGCTAAAGGATCATCATGCATACTAAATAGGATGGCTTTTACTTCATCAATCTTGATTACTTGCAGAGGTCGAAAGGGGTTTCATACATTTTGTTTGAACAAAAGACCATCTTGAACAAGATAATTCCGGGTCTTATACTTAAGGTCCTTTATTTGTTTATTGCTATAATTGTAGGGCACTATAGCGTCATTTAGGTATCGTATGAATAGGTAATAAGTCTCTAAATCCATGAAGACGAATTTGGCTTGTAGTTTAAATTTAATGCATTGTATTTATTATATATATTGCTATTTGTTTGTTTGTTTGTTTTTTTTTTTTTTTGATGCCAGGACACCGTAACCTGGACTGGATTGACAGATTTACTAAAGTTGATTATGATTCCTTTTACTCTCTTCTTCCTTTTTTTTTTTTTTAATGAGGTTATTCGATTCAAGATAACAGATCTACATTAATGTGGTGTTTACCAGACCTATAGCTGATATCGAAGTTATATTCAGTTAGAGTCATAACCTATCTTGCTAATCAGCCCCGAGGTTCGTTTAATGATAATAAATATTTTAGAGCCATATGACCTGTTACCAAAGTAAAGAAAGTACCGTGAAGGTACTGCCTAAAATATCTGACAGCCCAAACCGCCACCAAACACTCTTTTTCTGTGGTGGTATAATTTTTTTCAGCTGACGAAAGACCTCAACTTGATAGAAAATTACCCTTTCATGACCTTCATCATTCTTTTGGGATAAAATTGCACCTAACGCTACATCGGAAGCATCTGTAAATAAAATGAAAGGTCTATCGAAATTAGAGTAAGCCAAAAGGGGCACTTGGATTAACTTTGTTTTTAATAATTCAAAAGCTCCTTGTTCCCGTGTTGTCCACTTGTAGGAGATTCCCTTTTTTAATAAAGTATTTAAAGGAGCCGCTATTCGGGTAAATTCAGGGACAAATTTCTGATAGTACGAAGCAAGGCCAAGGAATCCTCGTAACTGCTATAAGTTTTGAGAAACAGGAAAATGCTCTACAGCTGCTACTTTTTTAGGGTCAGTTCCTATTCCTTTGTGACTTACGATATGTCCTAGTACCTTAACTTCTTGCTGGAAAAAGAAACACTTTGTAGGTTTTAATTTTAAATCTACACGATTTAATCTGTAGAATACCTCAGCCACGTGATCAAAATGCTTTTGGATACTTTTAGAATATATAATAATGTCATCAATATAAATGATGACAAATTGATTAATAATGTCTCGAAATATAGTATCCATTAAGCGTTAAAATATCATGGATGCATTTGTAAGGCCAAAAGGCATTACGTTAAATTCGAATAACCCAAAGGGAGTAATAAATGCAGTCTTATGTTTGTTCCGGGGATTCATTTCCACTTGCCAGTATCCGCTGGCCAGATCTAACGAACTAAAATAGTAAGCACCCTTTAATGAATCGAGCAAATCTTGAATATGGGGAAGTGGATAACTGTCTTTAATAGTTACCGAATTTAATTTGTGATAGTTGATGCAAAATCTAATTTTGTCCTCTCTCTTAACCAAAACTACAGGGGACGCCCATGGACTTTCCAAAATTTGAATAACACTTCTTCTAACATTCGAACAATTTCCTCTTTCATAAATTCACGCTCTTTAGGGATATGCCAGTAAGATCTTAATTTAATAGCAAGAGCATCACCCGTATTTACTTTATGCTTAACCATATTGGTACGGCCTAATTCTTTAGATTCCCAAGCAAAATTTGAACGGTGGTTTTGTAAAAAATTTTCAAATTGGTCTTGAAAATTTTGCAGCAGTTTACTAACGCGATATGCAATTTCAGGAATTTTTTCCTTATAATAGAAGTCGAGTAAATCAACAATAGGTTCATCACCTTCTCCTAATAAGTAAGTTGTTGACAGAGTCATCGCTCGATGGGGTCTTGTAGGATATATAATGTTTCGGGGTATACACTGTTAAAGTAACTAAAGGTATAACTAAGGTTAAGTTCATCCAAATCTTGATACAACGGTGGAAGAGAGCTGACCAAGATTTCATCACGACCCTCATCTGTCTCCTCGTCTAAATTGATCAAAGTTTCTTAACGGTTCTCGTCTGTTTCATCAGCAGAATCAAAGGAGATTAGATCAGTACTCGAGGATGATAGGGATGACCATACATCCTCAAACCAATATTCGTCCTCAGAATCTCAACTCATTTCAGGTTCTTCATGCAATTCTTGTTTGCGTAGCATGGCTAATGAAGGTAGATGTGAAAAATCATCAAAACTGGAAACTCCATAAATGCGATCCTCAAGATCTTCATTATCGAACTCATCTTCATCAGTAAGGGTCCCGGCTGTCATAATCTCATCTTCATCATTTTCATATAACTCTCTAGTTTTAATGGGCCTATTTTTTTCTAGGGGTTCACAAGTGATCTGACAATATTCAACGGAAATGACTATTTCCTTATCTTTCCACTCAAACAACATTTCTGCAGCAGTCTAATCAATTCGAGCCTTGACCTTTGATAACCAATCATTACCGACTATTGCTTGATAAGAGGTAGCATCAGTCACGACAACATCAATAGGGACTTTAATGCCTCCTACTTCAAAAGGAAAAGCTAAAATTTCTCCTAATGCTCATTTACTTTCTTCGTGAACATTAATCATATTGACCATAGAAGGTCTTTCAATTTTTATACCCAACTCCCTTAGAAAATAAGATGAAACAACAATTCCAGATGATCCGCTATCAACAATAAGAGGAAAAGTTTTATTCACCACTTAGCGTCACAATATAAAGCCATTGCTATTATTTCTGGCATTATACTGATGTTATTTTTTAACTTTCTTTTAGGGCTGCCTTTCTTATGCTTCAGACTTTTATCCAATTCAGCTCGTAATGACAGAGCGATTCGAATAAGTTGACCAAAAGTGATATTGGCTGGTTTATCTCTAATATCAGCTACTATATTGTAAGGAGGTACAAGCGCTGCAATTTGAGGAAGTTCATCTTCAGCAGGCTTTTTCCTGAGAGCCAAAGATGCTTTAATTTATTTCGTTCTATAAGCTTTTCTTTAGGTACTAATTTTTCTTTAGGAACTTCTGGTTTCCTAGAGACTTCTGGCTCCTTAGACGGTTCTTCGAGACGTTCCGTAGTGGGTTCTTGATTTTCTTCTCTTAACAAGCCTTCCAAATTGTCTTCATCCATGAATACATCTTCTTGAACTTGATTTTCTTCATCCTCAGGTTCCTCAACTGACCTGTCCGATTTAATTAGGGCTCCTTTTCTTTTAAAAGGCGTGTTTACAGAAGGCTTCTTACGATCACGCCTTTCTGCTGGTAGAAACAATGACAAATCTTCTTCACGAAAACTTAAAAAAGTCAGTTGGTCATGTGCTCCTTCCTCTTTTTTATCATCCAGCAAAGAAAGAAGAGCTTGGAGGGTTTCTTTACTAACAGTGACATTTTTATCTGGATCTTTTACAATATTCGTGGGTTTTATATTTTCTTGGCACACCCAACTTATGTGTCCCGGTTTACCACATTTAAAGCAAACTATCTTAGCTAAAAATTCTTTAGAATACTCTCGAGGGGGTCTTTTCTTTTCTTGTAACTGTAATGTCATTTTATTCACTGCTTCTACTAATTTTTCAATTACAGCTTCAGTTCCAGCCGCAGAGATTGATGCCGACGGGACTACTGGGGGTTGTAGATACATAGAATGGGGGTATCCATTATTTATTTGGAAATGCACTGGAGGTGCGTATAAGATAGAGTTTTTAGTTATTGTATTTTCAAAAGCTTTGGCCCTCTCAAAAGCTGCCTGAAGCGTATTAGGAATAAAAGGAGATATGGCAGCAAATAACTCAGGTCGCAACCCATTCATGAACATCTGAGCTTTAGCCGTATCAGGGTATTGTAACCTCCTGGCCTCACCCAACAAATTAATTGCTCAATAGCAATATAATAAGAATCAACCGATTCGTCATATTTTTGCTTTCTTTGGGTCAAATCGGAGAACCATTTACTTTCTAAGGCTGGTGTCTGAAACTGATTAATAAAGGTAGGCTTAAAACTATTTTGAGGACGTGCATTATCATCTCAACGGTCGATTACAGGGGCTTGATTACGATGTATCATCCACCAGATGGCTGCAGGACCCTTTAAGCGTAGTACAATAACAGGAATCTTGCATCCATCTTGTACTTGGTTTGCTTCAAAAGCAATTTTGACTTCTTTCAACCAGGAAATAGGATCCTGATCACCTCCTGAAAAACTGGGATACTCTACTTGCTTTAACTCGGGTTGAGGAGGGGCTATATTGACTTGTGGAGCAGGCGCCACTTGTAACTGCTGGACAAGTTGAGCTATTTGATTTGCCAGATTCATTAAGGGAGCAGGCTGAGCTGGATTAGCCATTTCGATTCCAACTACTTTTAGGATATTATAAAACGATGAGAGTGTTGTGATAATCCACACAATCGGCACCAAATGTAACTATTAATTCGAGAGAGAACTAAAACTAAACTGATTTATACTCTAATAGTTACTGAAAAGAAATGACGAGGATTGGGTCTTAGAACAGATAAGATAATAAAAGAGGTCAGAGATCAGGTAAATGTTCAGTGATGAAAGCGAGGATAACAGCTTCGAAATCGTAAGATTCTACGTTATGTGAGCAAGACTATTTTAACGAGAGTTTATAACTAACAGAAAAGATTTTTGAATTTTTAACAATAAAGGTCTCTTCAGCACTTCTTAGCTTACTTCCTTTATTTGTTAATAGGCAAACTCAAAGAAAATCTTCTGCTTTATTAAAGGTCAAGAGATAGCGTTTATATACATTTTAGTTACTATCTTACACATTAATGTGTTACTTAGCACGTTAACGTGCTATCTAGCACAATGAGGTGTTAATAGTTCATAAATTCCCAAGCCCAACACGTCGATGTGTTGTTATGAACTTTCGGTGCCAATAAAATTTTACACCTTATTAACGCTTGTATGTGTTAACACATTAATGTGTTAAACAATTTATACAAAAATGGACAATCATATGCTATCATTAGGATAGATACAAGTTTTACCTGAATTTGCTTATCATAATACAAAAATAGAAATAAAAAATAATAATATTTAAAAGGGAATGTTTATATACATAAAAAGAAAATTGATTTCTTCATGTCACAAATTTAGAAATTTGTGACAATATATATTGTAATTAAAATATTTGAGTGTCGTTAAAAGAAAACCCGAAAATTTAAATATAAGTCATATTTAATTTTCAGGTTTTTTCTTTTAGCGACACTCATTTACTAATCCCAAATAAATCTTCCTGTTCCTGGTTTTAGCACAACTACGTCACGCAGCTACCTAATTTTAAAATTGGTGGAATGTAAAAAACCCAAGACTTTTATCTAGACATTAATAGTAATAATAGGGAGAAAAAGTTATGGACATGATTGTTTAACTATAGAACTAAATTAGGGCTAAATTACATTATATTCTTATTTTATTTATAATTTTTAAAATATTACTAACTGTAACTAGTGGTGATTATTACCACTATTACGTGACATGTAAATTACAACATATTATGCTATCTCTATATAAAAATTTATATACAGCATATTAAATTTACATTACATTTATTACATAATCATAACAATTATTAAATTTTTTTTATAGAACAATTTTCATTGTTATGCATAACACCTTAATATGAATCTCACTGTTCTATTAGCTACGCACATCTATACACATC